CTCACATTTTCAGGTGCACGGGATGCTATCCCAGATGGACCTGTCCTTGGTTGCATTTTGTGATAAGATTGCGGATGAAGGCGGGCCAGTGTCCTTACCTGACGATATCGGTGGTGGTGGGTTGCCACAAACTCCCATTATCCAGATGATGTCAGTGACTAGAGCTAGTGCCCGTCTTCGTAATGTGCAGCCGGAAGTTAATTTGGATCAAAGCTATGAAGCTTTTAAGAAGCCAAAGAAAAATCACGATGCCTCTCAAACAGGTAATTTTTAATGGGATTCATCATACTTGTTTCAAAACTTCACTAAAAAAAAATATTTTACCTTTCAGCAAGTACAGTCAAACATCTTCATATTTGTTCAAGGTAAATTACAATGACCATAAGGTTCGGCCTCATTCAGTTCTGTTTTGTCTACAAATGTGTAACCACCTATCAGGGTGTGACTAAATACACCAAAATGGTATCTGATAATTACTAATTACTAAAACTACCCATCTGCTTACTCGAACTATGAATCTCTTTTGTTAGCAGTATCAATTACCTGTTGAGGTTTGTCTTTAAAAACCTCGACTCTTGTGTGTTCAAAGATAAATAGGTTCATTTATAGCTCAACTCTAATTTCATAATTAGACTGAGCTTCTTTGATATCCGTGTAATCTCAGCCTTCTATTTTCTGCGACTAAATCATAAACGGTACTTTGTTTGCATTGCGAAATTTTGTGGAAAATAGAGGCAGCGCAGCCCAATTCAGATCTGCAAAAGCCATCCGAAGATACTGAAACAAATGGTGATGATGAGCAAATAGCAGAAACTTCAGTGGCTAACGGTATAAATTCTGATCCCAAACCTGGAAACACTTCAAAGGACGTGACTATGTTGGATGCCGAGAGTTGCGATCAAGTCGAGTCCATAAAGCAGCTTTTTATGGGCCGGACCAAAAATTTCGGCATCCCACAGTTGGAGAGATTGTACGCGCACGTGATGAAGGGTGTTCTCGAAACGAAAAGCAAGGCCACTGTAGATGATATTAAAGGTTCGATTTTGCGGTTTTTGTTTGAGTTTGCAGAGGATGAATCCAAGTTCTGATGGTCTTGGGGACTATTAATTTTTATGAAACAATTTTTCCAACTCCTTGATATTAAAGCTAACCTCATACATTGAGTCTCTCTCTCTCTCTCTCTCTCTCTCTCTCTCTCTCTCTCTCGTTGGTGCAAATGACCATAGTAATTTGAAATATAGGAGCCTTTGATCTGAACTTAATTATACATACCAGTTACAGGCACTCTTTTGAGGAGAAATTAGAGCAAAAAAAATATCAGAAATGGAACAGGTTCATGACAGACAATAATCGACTCTCCACATCAAATAATACTTTCAGGCCTTTCTTTCGTGAGGTTCGATTCTTGTACTCCCACACGATGTTTATTACTGTTGGCTCAATACGCACCAACATGTACTGTGTTGGTGATCATGAAGAAAAACAAGAGAGAGAGAGAGAGAGAGAGAGAGAGAGAGAGAGAGAGAGAGAGAGAGGTGTATGTTCTAAACAGAAATGAAATTAAATTACAAAAGCCAGCCACTTTACCAGCAAGCTTATTACATGAAAACTCAATTCTTTCTTACAAATTTGTTGACACTTTGTCATCCAAACTAACAGTACACTCCTATATAATAATTAGCTCCAAGTCAAACCCTTTTTCAAGCCCTAATCTGCCTTAGAGCAATATAAGCCAACAGCCGGTACCCGACAAACATGACGAAAAGCATCCCGACACTCATAACTGGACTCATCTGCCCACATATATCCTCTTCGATAAACTTGCACGCGGCCCCACCTCGACCCCCGGCAGCAGAGCAATCAAGCAAATTCGAGACTCTCTCCCCATCTCCATATTGAACATTGATAAGAAGTTTATAAGTGTAAAAAGTCGTCGAAACGTATTTCATCCACAAGATAAAAGACGGGACTTTATGCACGTAGTAACCTCCCGTTAGGACAAACGCCAACATAACCACGGTGACTACAGTCGAGGCCTGTCTTGCATCCATTATCAAGGCTCCGAGCGCCAAACCTAGGCCGATAGAAACGAGCACGTAACCTAAAACGACGAGTAAAGTCAAGATGAAAGCCGAAAGCTCGGGCTTAAGCCCCGTCATCCAATACGTTATTGAGACAAACAACATCGGGAGTATGAGCTCCATCGGCAGATCGGCGCTTATACGCGCGAGAAAATAGGACGAGAGAGTGTACATTCCCGAAGCCCTTTCCCTCACGAAAATTGAGCGTTCTTGCGGGAAGGCGAAAACGGCGTTGAACGACGGGAGAACGCCCCAAAAGATGGTGATGAAGAAGAGAAGGCCCAATCGGTCTCGAACATCTCGATAATCCGAGTGCCACCACATGAAACCGGCTAGCAGAGAGGCCATGATGACTTGGAAAACGCGTAGGGAGTTGAAGCTCTCGTATTTTCTCTCCCTGAGGCTCCTCTCGAGAAGGATCGAGAACTGGTTGAGCCACGTGGATACCCGATTCGTGAGGCTTCTATTCTTAGTAGTGTGATGCTTTGTGTTGACAGTTGTGTCTTTCGGTAACGGGTTTGAGGAATCCATGCAAGACGCTCTTACCTTGGGTTCGAGTATGTTGTTGTACGAGGACATGAGGGCTTGTCTTACGTTCGGTTTATCTCTTTCGTTCAAGCCGTCTAGGTGACATACGCCTGCAATTACGAATCAAGATTGGCCTTGAGCATAATTTTTAACCATCATCACTTTGTGTTAATCAATATGAAATTGTAATTGAGGCAAAAAAGATAATATGTTATTAATGTAATGTTTCACATCTTTTTTCTAAGCTTTACATCAATTTGGAGACTACACACTACTTGTACCACTAAATTACAATACTCTCACTCATATTTCTCCAAACATTGAAGAGCTAAAAGGGAACAAAGAAAATGAGTTAACTAAAAGCTAGTGAATGTTAATGGTGAGCTGGGAGTCCACTGAACATAAAATGGGTGGTGATGAAAAGATATTGATTAGTTAAAAATCCAATAAAAAGTTAATTTGGTGGTGGGGAGCACCTTAACACATGGCCTTCTTACTCAGTTTAAACAAATTCAGGACACCCAATTGTCATCTTATCATAGAAAAACAAAAGTATGAGTGGGAACACTTTGAAGATCTTTATATGATGCAAGCAAGACATTCCCAGGCCCAATGTCTCCGAGACTAAGATTCCAGGCTGCAAATTCATAAATATTTATTACAATCATCAATTTTTCGAGATCAGATATAAACTAAAGGAAGATGCTAGGATCCCGTTATGGAACCATCCCGTTTCAACTATCTCTGACGGTTATATGATGATCTAATGATTACAAATCCCGACGGAATGGTTCCGTAACGGGACCTTAACATTTCCCTAAATCGAAACGGTTAAAATAATATTATCACTGTGATCTAATTAACATAACAACCTTATATAAAGAAATTAAAATACAATATTTAAAGGCTTTTAACATTTAACAAGTCAAAATGCTCTCCTAATGCGCTGCTTTATCTTTGTTTTTGAAGTGAACTTAATTAAGTTAGTGGGCATGTCCAACCAATCAAATCTTGAAAACAGAGGAGTTAAAAGAGGTCATAAATTAAATTTAACCAAGGAAATAAATAGCTCGCTAAAGTTGCCGCTATTTGAGAAATAGCTTTTTTTGACAGCGTGCCGCTATTTGTATTCATGTGCAATTTAGCCGCTAAATCCCGCTAAATC